CCAAATTGGTTCCCATACCACACCTAAAAACACGTGTGACACAGTACTCCCGAAGTAAAAGTAGAGTTCAGCATGGTAATTCAAAATCTTGTGACATCCCTGGATACAGCCAAAAGTTAAAAAATTGTTTCTTGGATTTAGGTACTTAAGCCCAACCGTTGCGCCTTCTCAGCCTTACTGAGGAATCTGGCAGTTAAGGAATACGAGCCATCTACATCATTTGTTCAGCGAACTGTGGTATAACAAGTAGAAATACTAGTAGCCTGATGACAGAAGCGGATCAATGCAGATAAGCCACAGAGCCTGTTTCCATCTGCCATTGTAAGCTAGGCTCAGATACAAATCGACCTATCCGGGCCATTACCACCATGTAATGTTTGCACCTACGTCTCCACTTGTGCCGACCGATTGGCACCATGAACAAAGAAGTCCTATAACCGATAGTTCAGCAGGTCATTTACAAATGAAGAGTTTCGCAGTTGCAGGGATCGAAAAGAGCAACTTCGAAACGCACCAACTGATCGGAATAGCACAAGCAGACTTCAAACACAACCGCGACTATGACTGAAATTGTGTTTTGCAATAAAAGAATTACGGTGCGTGCTCCAAAACCTGACATCCACATGTGCTTTCTTGGAACGTTTAGTACCTTAAAACGGACGCCCTCCTGTGATTATCACAGAGAGTGGAGCATGTTACAACGAAACCTCGGGGTATATATATATATATATATATATATATATATATATATATAAGCAACAGTCTGTAAGATAGAAAAAGAACAAGCCAAAACCGTCAAATGAAAGTACTAAATACAGGAACCACAAAGAAAGGCATGAAAGTTGCAAAAATTGTTTCTTTGGAAGCTTGTCTTTTATTTTTTTATTTTTTCACACGCCGTTCTATCATTTTTGTCTGTGTAAGGGTTGCGATGTCCAGCAAGCAAATCAAGACAAACATTTGTACACATTTTCCATTGGGCCCGGTTCTGTGCCATTTCCGAAAGTTTCCAGTCAGCGGTGTTCTTCATCTTTGATCCCCCAGCCCGGAAGACGCACGGGACCTACGACAGTCAAACTGGAAGTCAGGGCTTTAATCGTTTGTCGCCACCTGATGGGCTGACCCCCGCCTGGTCCTTTGCGAGCGAGGAGAACGTGTCGGACAGCCCTTGGTATAATATGCGTAAAACGTGTCTCAGGCATCTCAATTGGCATAGCGGTATCAGTCTGTCAAGTGGAAGTTCCGTGTTACCCAAGATGCGACGTCTAACATCATCGTTGCGCACATGGTTCATCCACCATACTGGAGCTATTCTCCGAAGATATCCATTGTCAAACGCCGAAATCCGACGCAAGTCAGTGCGGCAGAAACTTTGTATACCCTCCGGCAACAAACGTGATGATGGAAAGGTTATGTTTACAAGTAAGCATTTGCTTTATTATTCATGGTTTAAAGCTCTCTTGCCAGTTATTCTAAAAGCAAAAACATTATTTAGGAGAAGTTGCATGCTGATTTTTTGCTCGTTTATGGGCACACACAGTGTTTAACTGATGAACTGGTCTCGCTGAAGCCCTTGACAATTTCTGGTTTTATGACTAAAAGCCCAGCTATCAAATTACATTCGCTAAACTCGCTTTGTGCAACCTAGATCGTAGAACACACGTACCGATGTATGCGATCTCCCGATCGCTTGCTCACACATGCTTGTTTGTACTGAGTGTGCAGTTGTGCTTTTTAACCGGCTTTTACGAATTAATATCGCACCGTATGATAACTTTACAAGTTTTCGCACCAACGGCAATGCCAGGAAAGAGATATTAAGTATTGATAGACATAAACCACCAATTTTAACTGACTCCGCTTCAACGCCGCCGCAGATAACTAGCCGTCCGCACTATTCTGAATGCCTCCCAGACTCAGAACCCACCTACTCGAAGTCAACGAAACCCACAGTAACAAGTGAATTTACTTGTCTACAGCGCATTGTCAGCCAAATTGACATGAAAATCACAAATGTTTGCTATTTCTGAGAACATGCGTGCCCCCACTTTTAACGCGCCTGTGTGTTCTTCCCACCAACACTTCGGAAAGGGCCACAGACTAAAACCTCTAGAAATCCTAAAAATGAGCACTTCTTTCTATCGTATGCATACTAGCACTCCACATGATATAGCGACATATGCATGAACAAGTAAGGTTCTTCTTTGAATTGAAAATTGCAGAACTTCAACTTTCTAGAGCCCCTTGTCCTTCCCCGAGTCATTCACTCTTAGCCTTAGGCCCCCATTACTTTGATCTAACGCAGGCGTGTCCAAACTTTTCTCGAGAAGGGCCACATTTCGTCCGGTAAAAGTATGCCGGGCCGTATTCAGTCTGACATTAAGGTAATGACAACAAATAGACTTGTACGAAAACAGTTCAAACTTGCATTTATTATTTCATGATGAGGCCGCGGGCCAGTTGAAATGTTAACGCGGGCCGCATTTGGACCGCGGGTCGGACTTTGGACACCCCTTGTCTAACGTAATAACAAACGGCTTTGACCGTTTTTGATAAGTTTTAGCCTTATCTGTCATTGCTTGGTTGCTCCGTACCAACATAAACATTATTGTGGATACCTCGCGGTATCACAAAGGCTTCGCACTGGATGTCTTCTTTTATCACTGAGGTCGCCATTTTATTGCTTTGTGGGGATTACGCAATGTCTTATTGACGAAAAAGGTAGCAACTTGTAAGTACATGAAATCAACAACTATCCCTCGACAACTAGATTAACCTTCTTCTAAACATGAATATCTAAAACCCTTGTAGACATTTGGATAAAGCTTGTAAAAGCCATTTCGCTAAAGGTCTGCTAAGGGTATCTGCAGTTGGTGCGTGTTCGTCTTGGTACAGGGCGTATAAATCCGAATTAGATCTGTTGGTTTTTTGCACTAGACGCTTTCTGCAAAGACTGAATCTTATCTCCGACTAGAAGGAAGTACCAAAATAGGCCGTTAGAACAAATTTCTGGACCTCGCAATGGGATAATCGTCGGGTTAGCAGTGGATTGGGGTGCGGTGTTACATTAAGTAACTTCTTGACCAGGAAGATTATGGAACTTCCTCGAGACCGTTCTGTACGCCAGCTTATGATGCACCCCAGTTGAAATTACCACTCGAATCTTGTGAAGTTAGCGGGGATCAAAACACTACAAGAACTTCATACAATTGGCAGATGCAATAATATGCAATGAGCGCGTTAACCACCCGGTTGACTGATTGGGATTTAAAATTCGGCTAGTCGGACGTGTCTGCGCCAGCCTACCAGCCACCGCATACAACTTGGAAACACTATGGACTATCCGTATTTCACCAGAGATCAACTGGTTTGAGTTGCTGTTTTAGTTGATTGTACTGTATATGAATGAACGAGATCTTTACTCGATTGAGCGATAACATGAAGCGTCTACACAGAAGAGCAGCTGCGACATTTAGCCGTACAAATCCCAGGAATACAAAAAGGTCAATTTTCGTATGAGTGCCTGCATTTCTTGAGCTAAATTGCTGCAGTGAAGTTAACTGTTCATAATAAGTAAACTGAACGATACAGCTGCTTCAAAACGCACTTTGTTCACACGCTGATAATGTTGCTTTGAGTGTCTGTTTTCTCGTAAGCTAGGTTGATTTACCAGCTCAGTATTGCTTGTTCTCGGTGGAGAAGCAGGGACTACTTCCGACCTAAATCAACCAATGCGGGATCGAATCAGACCAGTGACGGACGTTCCCAGCTATGTCCACGACAGTCATAAACTGATAAATAATTTGTTCTAAACGCAAAACACTGACTTCATCAGGCTTATTGCGACCGCCTCAGTAAACCGAAGGAAGCGGGAATTAGCGTGACGAAACACAATTGTGAACGCTGAGCTCAGCTCTCTCCGGTGACCAGAGACCAATAGGTGATTACCTAGCGAAGAAGCCGACGGCCTACTCGAGTACCAGGATTAAGGGGTAAGGGATTTAGGGTGCTTTCCCACTGGACCCATCTCTGCACGTATTCCTTTATGCAGGAACCCAGAGTTCCATCAGTGCTGTCTTTGTAACTGCTTCCGCACTCACACACCAATCGGTATACACAGTGTGAGTTGGCTCCGATAGGCTGGAGTTCCTTCGCTGCAGGGACTCGTAAATTGTGGGTTCGGGTGATTACAGCAAACTAATCAGCGAAGTAACTTTGCTGCGTAGAGGACATTAGTCCTTTGCTGTTGCGGTCGCAATGAGCCGAATGATGCCAGCTCTGTACATTCAAAAACAATAATTTGTCAGTTTAAGATCGCCATGGACATAGGTGTAGAGTTTGTCACTCACTCTACACCTCAAACATGTCTGGACGTGCCCAGTGTTAGATATATCTAGGCACATCGGTTATTGTTACTGGTACTGAAGAGAGAATACAAAATGCATGCATCTGCCAGTGTGCGTCTTATTTCTGCGCTTTTCATATTTAACTGTGCAATACTCGTCTCAAAGTTACCAAACTACTCGATTGGTTTCTCACATAAGCCAAACTAAAAAAAGCTAACCTCCCCGTCTACTTCATGTTCATCGTGCTCAACGCCTGTCCACGATTTCGGAACAGCTTCCACTCCATTCACTGATCTAATGCTACCTAATGAATAGGTAGTTGTGCTCCGGAGTAAGTTGTGCTGCTGACCAAATTTCGGCTGATGGCTCTACTCACCACCTGCCATAATGGTAGTAGTATACTAAGTAAGCGGTCATTTAATACCAACCAACCTTAGTTATTGCACACGCAAGTGAACGGAACCGTCGTTAAATGAGTAGCTTTCGACAAGTTGACTGAAAAACATTGTTTACTAACCTATTCAAACGATATGTGGATTGACGGGTATCATAAGTGATTAAAAGCATGCACAGAAAACGAACTGGGTTCGAAAGTGGAAAAAGTTTCTTAAGCTTTAGTAACATACATTTCCATGGACGTTGAAAACCACTTACGTTGTTCACACAAGTCTCCTCGAAAAGTGGTCCCAACACAAGTACAGGCATAGCTCTGCCATCGCCTCACGCATACCCCATCATGCAAACAGCGCAAGATGGGGAGGCTTCGGTAATGAAAGCTGCTTGGTGAACTTTCCTGAACAAGAGTCCCACAGTTGCCTGCTACATCATCTGCGCAGCCTGGTTTTATTTCTGCCAGACAGGATGAATAATCTGTTGAACTTGTAGAATATTTGTTTCGTATGTAGTAATGCAGGTCCATTGGTCGGTTGCCACCCAAACGAATATCTCCGATACAGACCTGTATAGAAAATACGGCATTTCGTCAAACAATATCATCGAAGTTCATCTGAAGGCTATGATAATGAAGTATACGATCCTACCGATAATACATTCCACCACCCAGCTTTCAGCATGTAAGTAAAAACAAATTTTCATCGATTATTTTCCCATTAATATGACATGCTCACTGGGAGGACTGAGTACATTTGTGGACACAAGTGATTCACAGCTTGCAACCAACACGTGGCACCTATGACGAATCCTCCACACAAATGGCTTTGCGGGGCCTGCAAAATCCAGTTACATCCGCGGAATTACTTATACTCACGCTTTCAGCAACTCTCTGCTTTGTTCCTCTTTACCAAACCATACAATAATCAAAGTCATGTTAACATACACAAGCGATATTTTAAAATTCCTACGTGTTTCCACTCCGCTGAACGCCCCATTTGTCCTGGTCAAGCCATAATAAATGAACTGAAACGAATCAGTAAAAAGAAGAACAAACTTACTATAAAGCATCGTGCTGCATGGTGGATTACTCTACGAAAAATATCATTGCGGAGCATGAGTATACCCATCATACTTAGCTCAAATATCCGATCACTTGTGAGCAACATAGAGGAGCTTAAACCACAGTCTGTTCTCGTGAATACGCGAAGCTTAACGTGCCTATACTTCAAGAGACCTGGATCTACGAGGATGTGGACGACACAGTTGTAGCGATCGAAGGATTCATTTGCCATCGTGCAGACCGGAAATGTACATACCGCAACAGTGGCGGAGGAGTCAATACTTATATCAAACTGTCGTGGTGTACGTCATCAAAATATCGGTTTCTCTTCTCTTCGTCACCTAGTAAATGTTTAATTCTGATGTTTAATTCTGATTTTTAAGCAGGCTACCAATCGATTCAACCTCTGAAGCAGAAGAATTTTACGATAATTTCAACTGTCATCCACCATATTGATTATTCTCTCCGTAATTTGGCTGGCGTTTTCAACAGATCGGACACTACTTTTCTCACTGATCTTGGGTTACAAAATTTGTCAACTCTCCCACTAGACTTGAAGCAACCCTAGGTCTGATATTCGCAAACAATGTGAAGTTGTTTTTCGTGTACCAATCAGGCTCCGATTGGTATCTCTGATCACTCAAAAGTCACCTCCTGTTTTATACACCCAAATAGATCCCATGGAGCTCATTCGCTGTAAAGATCGTGAGATCAAAAGAAGATTAGGTTCATCTCAGAATATCTATCGACTACCAGAATTGATTGCATCTACAGACTTTAATATATTCCTTGACAGTGATTTATCTACCTACTGTGCCCAGTTTACGAGTTATCTCAACTTCTCGTTTGATACCCGCTGTCCACTGGAAAGATCTATATCAGTGCTGATCAGTTTTCATCTCCGTGTCTAAAACGCCAGCGTAGGCTTAAAGAGAAAGCCTTCCTACAGAAACACCACGTTGCAGTTTCTATCAAGTTAGAGTTGCGCCGTCTAAATCATCTATTTCGCCAGACGATTGTCGGAAACAATAGCTGTCGAGTGGTCTGGCGGATGCTTAAACCACTTAGTGGTGTCACTCACCGACAGTCAAATAGAGATGTGGACCTTGAAGCTTTGAACGAAAAGTTTTGTCCTTTCAGTGCTGACTACAATTCTTACCCTTCCTTCCTCCGAGTGGACAGTTCTATTATCTATTCATCTACCATTGACAGAATACAGTACTAAAGTACCTGCTGAAGCTAAATTCCAACAAAGCAAGAGGATCGGACGGATTATCTCCACTTGTCCTCAAGGCATGCGTCGATTCCTTGGCTCAGCCCCTTACTGACCTGTACACGTCGTGCATACAGGAATGTAAAATTGCTGACTGGTGGAGAAATGCTGGAATTATACCGGTGCCAAAGAAAGGCTCAGACAAACACCGGCCAGTTGGTTGCACCTCAGTAAACCTGAAGGTCTTCGAGAAGATTATTCTTGACAGGATGATGACACAAGTTCTTCCAGGTTGTCCGCTTCAATTTGCTTACCGCACACTGACGTCTACTGAAGGCGCACTAGCCCATCTTCGAATTCAGTGCTGACGTCACTGGACAATAAGATCAAAACCGACTATAACAATGTTTTCGGTAGTATCAACCGTGGCCATATGTTGAGAGTCCTAGATAATGCTCGCATCTAACCTTCTACTGTAAATCTGCTGAGGGGCTAATTCTCTGGACGTGCCCAGTTTACTCTACTTGACGATTAAAGTTTCTCACCACAGCCACCAGCGTCCTTCAAATAGCCGTCTTGTCACTATACCATCGGTCTACTTATGTCGCCTCCTTGCCCGCTCCTGACGAAGTGATATCTGGACGACGTTGCATTATGGTCCAGAACTCACTTTTATCGCCAAATGACCTTCGTTATCAGCAAGTTCTAATGGATCGCCTTGAAGTTCACATAACTGGTGAACGGATGTACTCCACCGAGTCTGTGAAGTATCAAAGTCTTACTAAGCCGTGAGCTATCATGGTCACTCCATATGAATGAAGTCTTTACAAAAGTGAAGAGACTTTCCTTTTATGCTGCTCGTTTGCGATCCTCCTCTGTCCCCCGCTGCCTAATACTGCGATTTATCACTGCTTGTGTCTTACTTCACTGGACTTATTGCTCCCATGTGACATTCTCCGGTTTCCTAAAGAAGAATTGCAAAATCCTAGATAGGTCATTGACATAACTGTCTCGATGTAGTGATATTCTAAAGCCAGACTTCGTTGACATTATTGTGTCTACACATTCCGGTTCATACAAACATTTGCTTCAAAAATATTCGCTGATGCAAGTCACTCCCTTTATGGTGCACTATATGACTGTATATCGACTTTCACAACTACAAAAAGTACACATCCATCTTTTCCCGCACAAGGGCTTGCCACTAAGCTGTAATCGCGTTTTTGGCGCACTTTTTGTGCAACCAAACCCCAGTCGTTATGGAGGTTACAAGCAAATTCACATTGTAATAATATTGTTGTCTTTGATACATTAATTCTTGTGTGCACTAACGTTCCTGAATCCAGATCCGATCCAAGAAGGGATAAACTGTTAGACGATCGTAGTCTGTGGTATTCCATCTGCAGTGCCCATCAGCCTGCGGGCTGAACCCACTACAAACAGACACATCGCACGACACCCAAACTCTTTACACTATGATGAGCCTCGACTTCTTCGAGTATACTACACTCTGCGGACGAAAAGGAATCCATTCTGCTCGCTGCGAGCCAACACCACATAGCATCTAACGGAGTATTTATCTTACCGGATATTAGGTGGAAAGAACGTTCAAAGGATATCAACAATCAGCAGGGAAGTAGAAAACACGAGCTGAAAACCCTCATTATTCATGGTGTCCCCGAGTCTCAAGCTTCATCACCTGAAGAAGCTCAGGCACTTGATCTGGAGCAGTGGTGATACGTTCATGAGGTACTGTCTTTAATAAATGTCATTGCTACCTCCTTGACAAGGATTTCCGTGTCACCAAATTACAAAGGGTGTGGTCGTAGGTTGCTGAAGTTGGTCTTACCGTCTGAGCTAACTTTACAGACAGTTCTAGAGAACTGTGGTAACTTCCGAAACAAGCTACCAACAGAAATTTGACTAAAAGCAGCAGGTATACGACCAGGGCTACTGGTTACTCAATGGAGAGAACCAACTCAGTAGGAACACCCGTTGTTGCAGATTCCACCACAGAGGCTGATCTGACTGCCGTCATAGCATCCGGCGAAGCACTGCAGGAGGTGAGAGACCATCAGGATCATCATGACTCCGGTTGCATGGTGCAGAGAGTTATTTTAAGTCATTCTCGCGAGCTGAAGACTATTAAAATAACGAGTAGCAGCCGACCTCACGAGGGTCGGCCAAGTCTCAAACCTGTTGTCTACATCCACAAACAAGCTTCTAACATATGAATCACTCTCCTGTTGTTATACCAAACTACAAGGTCGTTTGAGCAAACTGACGATGCTTCGCCTGCGTCAAGCCTCAATGTTAAGGGACTTCGTTATGATAACCGAGACCTGGTTGAGTGAAGCGATCACTGATGCCGAAATCGCACTACCTGGGATGTCTATCCTAGGCAACGATCGACCAAGTATATGAGGTGGAGTACCACTTTATTATCGCAGTGAACTATGCCTTGATCTCATCGATGACCAGGAGGTTCAGATGGTCGACGCTCTTTGGTGTTGTTTTCACCTAAGCCGTGGGGACGCATGTTTGTTGCGTGTGGTGTATCGCCCTCCGTCGGCTACTTTGGAAATGGACAACCACTTAGCCTCCACAATGAAGACCATTCTCTCAAACTCGTACCGCCACATTCTCCTGGTTGGTGACTTCAATATTCACACCATAGAAACCCAAGACTGTGTCAACGAACACTTCAAAATAGAAGTACAGGTGATAATTAATGGACTACCACTCTACAGTCACATCACATCTCCCAAAAGATTCAGGACGGGAAACAAACCAACGAAGAGCTTATGATCGAAACGGTATCGGTAGGGAGTTTTGGGCCGTAGCGACCATGTAACACTCATGTTTAATTACATCTATTACGCAAAGGATCCCTCAGCAAACACAAAGGAGTGTCAGCTCATTACGGATTACAAAGTTCTAATCAAACGTATAACTGCTACAAACTGGGCATTTGTAGCAGAACGATCTCACGATGTCTCCTGGTCTGATTTCGCGCACCAATTCAGCACGTTAGTAACTAGCGCTTCTAGGAAAAGGCCTTCGCGAACGAAGACAGTAAAATCATTCATACGCAGCAGGACATGGAAGTGTATCGTCACAAGGAATTTACTCTGGCGAAGATACAAGGAGTCACCGAGTGCCGAAACATGGGAAGCCTACACTACCCAAAGCAATCACTGCGTAAACCTGGTACGCGAAGATAAAATACAGCACCAACAGAATCTAGCTCAGTAATTCCTTTCAATCCCCAAGCCCCTCTATAAAGGCGTTAACAAGCTCCGCAAAGTGCAGCGAGGTATTCCTGCATTACACACTTTATGTGGATTCGCACAAACCGCAACCGAGGCTTCCAAAGCGCTATGGCAACAATTTGCCCCGAACTTCCAGAGCACGACATCGCTGCGTACACTGTTCCTGTACGTTGTAGCACCACCAGGACTTAGCCACATCACGTTTACAACTGCGAATGTTATGAAAATGCTCATTTCCCTAAGCGGGCAAACCTCTCCCGGCGTTGATAATATTCATCCAAAGGCGTTGAAATTGGCTGCAGTAAACCTAGCGGTCACGCTCTGCAAGTTCTTCCATCGATGCCTGGATAAGATGCTGATGCCAACAATGTGGAGACAGGGAATCGTCACTTCCATCCATAAGGGAGGGAAATCGTACAGATCCGGCCAACTATCGCCCGATAACACTACTTCCAGTGCTTTTTTACTTGTAATATATCCCTGTTCATTGTTCATTGTTCTTTTGTGTATTCTTTTCACAATGCAGAAGGCGTGTGTGTAACAAAGGAATATCCACCCCCGGGGTGCATAAAGCTCTACCTTGAATTGAATTGAATCTTCTCTAAATACGGTGAATGCATGGCTTCTAAGTAAAAGAACAGGTGAGTGACCGTATGAATATCGGGAATTATCTAAGGACAACGAAAATATTGAGATTACATTGATGTGCGCTAAAAGCATGAAAGGTATGTTCTCCTCCATACTTGTGCTTCTTACTGGATGCAATCATAATGGGTATCTTCAGAGTAGCAGGTTATTTGTTTAAAATTGTATTCATTGGCCTTCACAAAGCATCCAACAAGCCATTTAAAGGACGCCATTCGTTCCATCTAGCACAGTGACTTTTAAAGCAGTGATTATGAAACAGCTAGGCGTCTGATTTCGTTAGGCTCAGAACCATATGAAATTCCTTCGAACCTTTTCCGAGCCACTAGCTTTGCAGATCTATACCATTGAGTAACTTTCACCTGAACCGTGTACGATGCACTGATTGCTTACACATGCACTGTCGACGGATGGCTTTAACAAATCTTGAATAAATGTGGCAACTTACTGCGACAGTGTCCAGATCTTTTATGGCTGATGACCCGAGATCTTTCAAAGCCTCCGGAACGTAGCCTAAATACAATTTAGACAACCTTTGCTTAAATTTGCCTGTCTTCAATATTGATGACATCCCGCCGATTCCCTCAGTGTACGTTGCAACACCAATATCCAAGGAACCCAAACTAGACCTAGAAATAGGAATAGGAAGGCAGAAAAATTGTACTAGCAAAAATAGCCTTCATATTTTACAGGCTCACTTAGTTATTGATGTACTATTTGGTTAGGTCGCGAAATTGTCTCTAGCTGGAGCCTTAACTTTGGCGGTTCGCCGTTATTTCGAGTATATTTACCAGTTCAAGATGCAAATTCTCTAGTATTTGCCATGGCTTTGTGTTCTAAGACCATAACTGCGCTACATAACTATCCCAGTGTTTAGCTCAGAAACTCACTGTCAATATTCCGTCAGATAGCCTGTAAGTCGCGCATTCATGTGTCAAAATTGAGTGCGGATTTCGATAAACTAAGCAAACAGATGTGAAAGCGATATCATCTGATCTACGGGATCTGTGGATACAAGGCGAATCTTCCTATGCTTGCCTCTTAAGCCTAATCCCAGAGTAGTTCTTCAACTGAGTTGTATATATTTATCCGTTTTTCCTCACCATGAAGTTCACTGCAAGAATACTTACGGAGATAGGAACTCGCGCGAAGTAGTCACTGAAGCCCACACATTTTAAAGGGAAATGCGCTGGGACAGATAATCTATTGTAGGTGCGTATGTTGGCTATCAGTTAACACATATGCACTGGGCCCAATGCATCTTAATTGTGCAATTTAATTTGTTCGTGCAGCCTGTTTCGTACGGCTTATCTGTATACTCACTTTGAAGCATGATACTACCACGCTAATAATTAATGAAATCCTACGTAAGCAGGTACCCTAAATCCGAAGTAACTGGTTTCCCCAAACAGATTACCAGTGGTGGAACATTGAAACAGTTTTATTATCAACAAAGAAATGAATAGCTAATCTGCTACCTTAATTGCTCTGGTTGAAACGGAATATTCATAGAAATCCTGTTGCAAACTTGGGTATTGGATACACTGTATACGTGGAAGAGCATGTCGAATCGTTACACACAAAAGCCTCATTACTGTTATGTTTTGACAACGATCAGGAAAAAGTCCATCTAAATTGGGACAATTCTTGATGTAATTCACACACTACTTACGTTAGGCAATTTAACCAACGTGCCGATTCATGAACACCAGGTACATCTTTGATGAAAATGTCCTATGGCAGGCAGATAGGTGCACAGAAATTGTGCTGACATCCAAAAGGACTACAAGGAGCTATCAAGTACGGATTTCATTCTTTTCGACTCATCTTCTGCGTTACTTTCAACTGGTTGCAGTACAAAAGTAAAAGTCTTCAGCACCAGATCTTTCTGATGTACTGTCTGCGGAGTAGGCGCAGCGTTTTTTACCTGTGGTGGTAAGGCGAATTATGCAGACCACATACATTTTACTAGCCACTCACTAGGGAAGCACAAGATCGTTGTTCTCTGGTTGATACGAAGGCCGATGGAAACTCAGGGTGTATCGGTTCTACCGCGGTTCATTATTTCACCTAGACGCGTACACCGAGCTAATGTGTTGTCCCTTAGTATAACCAGTAGCACGTACTTCATGTGTGTTTCGACACAAACCAAATATACAGAAGGCAGATTCAAAGCCAAGGAGTACGTGTTTACGTTGAACTAGCTCGTCATAGCGAACTTGTTCGATCTCACTAATCATCGTTTCTCTGAAACGGGACAGACAAAGAAATCGCGCAACTGTTCACCAGCATACGCGTGAGGACCACATGACAGCATTTCCTGCATCGAAGGATGTATGTCCCAGAGAGCATCACTGCGCAGTAACCGCGTCGTTGAGACCCGCTAAGGAGTAAGTAACTCCGAGTTGTGTGCGGGGCACACGATTCGTATGCTAACATAACCTCACCTTTCCAACGGAAACTATCGGTAATCGCTAGCACGCGTTGGACGATACTGCATGACCGCAGTTACTTGCTGTGTAATATAAACATACTGGTTCACAACCTGAGTAGTCACACACCTGCGCGCAAAATGTTACAGAGAATAGTGCTAGCCTCCTTTAGAAGGATTCTGCTTCCTGCTTAATGTACTACGTAAACGAGACCACGTCAACTTTGAAATTTCTTCCGGTTAACTAAAGGGGGCTGAAAATGTGACCCCTCTATCAAGCTTTTTGGGGGTGAACCCGGAACAAATCAGATGCGAGCATTACTTAGACCTACTATCCAACCTGAAATACGATACAGGGCGCTCTTCTTTCACGAATGTTGTCAGTTGATAGATTAAATGACTGGTCGCATGGCTATGCGAGGCTGTACTAATCGGATATGGTTACATATTAGTTCATTCTATGATTCCCATTCCAGTTCCTCTCAAAATAAAGCCTGCAGACGAGCAAAACTTGTCATGAGGTGCGTGGATCATGACGAACATTAATAGTACCGTCAGCTTTGGTTGGCTTCCTACTGGCTAATTTGTGCACAGTGAAGTCCAGATTTCCTCGGAGGAGATGTAAAGAAAGTATAACCGAAGGAACGAACTGCTTGCGTTATGGGGACCTCTAATATTTGAACAACTGTGCCACGAAACAGGGAGTGATATAGTGAATTTCCCTTAACCCCTCTAGATACGAGGTGAATAGTTTATGAGCCAAGTAGACTTAGTGGACTGGGTACCTGCAGGAAATCGACCTTTCTTTCGAACAAGCAAGTAATCTAATAAAGCATATGCACACACCGCTTCTCTAATAGACAACTCACAATGGCGTCGGGTCCGACAACCGTGACACACATACAACATACTGTGGTACTCGGCTGTTCAAAGCGCCAGTCGCCCGATCGCAATGGTTTGCTGAACTCAATGGATACACTGTGTAAGGTTGGATAAACTGACTCACTTCAGTGACTAACCCTGGGTTTACTTTTAGTAACAGCTCAGTAAAAACAGTTTCTGCACCCTCTATCTAAAACAGCTTACCCATAGAGTCGAACGACAAACCAGCTTCCGTTGTTCAAGTTGGCCCCGATGAAGTCCGAGAGATGCGTGTTTTCGTTTTCGAAGCGGTCCACTTTCAGCCTTCCCAACCGCAGGCTCAAAATCAACAGAGGGAAACTATGATCATCAGTAAACAGACACAGCATTGACGTATTCCTTGATGCTTTAAATGCAAACTGGATTTCCAGCACTGGTTTTGTTTCCGAGAGTATAATGCCAACATTACAGCCTGAGCCGGTAAAATGTACCGGATACGCCGGTGTTAGGGGTCTGATGGTTTCAGCGGGATGCGCAAGGGTTACGCTGCTTGTCGCTTCTTGGACCAAATCAATTAGAGATTCCAGTTCGTTTGATGTGCTCCTCGGATCAAGTTTCAGCCCATTGAGACTAAACTGTTTCATGCTTCCGATGAAATTTGGGGTAGAAATGAAGCTTTCACTAACGGGAACGGCCAAGAAGTCAGAAGTAGAGTATTCTTTCGAGCCGAGCACTGCTCCTCTCAGTGGTAATATGGTAGTTTTGAGGGACAAGTCTGAACATGAACAGAACAGTGTGATTAGCAAAGATGCAAAATTGAAAAAGAGGGTCATGGAGAGGAGGACGTCGGAGAGAAAAATGAACTTACTGAGCTGCTCCAGGAGGCATGGAACTTATGATTTCAGAAAACTTGGTAGACGACCGGTTAATGTATTTATGATAATAGATAACGTTTTGCTTTTGACACAAAAGCTTCATGGAACTTGTCGTATATGTCATAAAAATGAGTAAACAACCGCTTTTTAGTTTAGGTGGCGAAGCTGTTTCCTCCCTTTTGATTGATTTGATGACGCATATACTCACTCTCTGAGAAACATTGATTCAGCACGAACTTATTGCTACATAAAGATGACTATAAAACTTATCACCCTATGGTAACCGGTCTGCTGTTTGCGCCAGTCAAGAACGACCTTATGCGAGGCAACCCAACTTTCATTTAAATAAATTTTTACATATCGTGGTTACATGCAGGAATAAAGCGATAGAGAAGCTGCCAACCCTTTACGTGTGTCTATCTGTTGCGATGCTTGCACGTAGCACGGTATACGAATGGCACGTTGAATACATGTGATTTTCCGCCTAATCATGCCAAGCGTAAAAGACATATCTATCTCTTGGCATTGTTTTGCAATCTGACCTGCGCAGCACCTTACTGTTCGTAGTTTCGCTGGTGAACGGAGGTAAGACATGATCCGCTTGCTTGCTACTTGTAAATGACCTCCTAGCGTTGACCGTGTGGCCATCTTCCAGCTGATAAGTGCGAGCCCCGAGGCCGCGTGTTATTCTTATGGGTCCGATAACATGGGCTGCACTTTTGACGCCACCTTTCCCTTGACACGTACGAATTATCCCAGTTGATCGGGGTAGCAAGCTTTCCATAGGATGCCTGATATCTTTGGTGACGTTTCAGGTTGTCGGCGTAGTTCGTTAAAGAATAGGTGAGTGCAGCATTCAACATTGTTCGATGCTGACACCCAACCGTAAGTTCCGCCAGTGTCTTGCCTGTGGCTTGGTGATGTGCGGTTCTGTAGGAAAACTGTTCTTATAGGATTGCACATACCCAAGCTGTACCAAATAGACAAACAGCCTACATACTCTGTTTTAACGATCTGTAGGACCGCTCAGCCATGTCTTTTGCCGCTGGATTAAGCGGAGAAGTACATGTGCGTTAGATGGCGTGATGCCGTAAAAGCGAGTGAAAAATATTGCTTGTAAAAGGTGGGGCCGCTGTCCGTCAATATCTCCTCTGAAAACCCGAGGCGAGAAAGCATTTATTTCAGCCATTTGATAATACTGGCAGTAATGACTTCTTCGCCCAAGTTAACTCCGGGCCATTTACTATAAAAGCAAGTCACAACCAGTCAGTTCTTTGGAGATTGCGGTACTGAGCTGAACGGGATTTTGCCATCGATTGCTATGTTTGCCCCCGGTCGCATAGGATAGTTGATGGGCTGTATCGGAGAGCAAATCTGTCTTGAGCTAATTGCTGCGCTATAGCATGAAGTATGATTATGAACCAGTTTTTCGACTTCATGTGATATCCAGTTGCACAAGAAACATGGGTCCACACCCACATAGCATTATCTTTTGCACAAAGCTTCGAGGGGAAACTAATTTGCAGCCGCGCATTAAACATCCTTCAATGGGCGATAGTTCATGACGCCACTTTATTATTGTGTGGCCAACCATTCAGTAAAACTGTGGACGCCGCAAAGTTTCGCTTCTGAAATAGACACATTCTGGAGTTCTTGTTTAGTCGAAGCTGAGATTCCCTCGTTAATCAAGGAAGACACCACTAACCCTTCATCGATATACTCATATTTTCCACTTCATCCAGCAGCAGACGAAAGAGATCATTCGTTGCTTGCTTTGCACGTGCAGGACGAATTTATTTCGGGAATCGTAAGCGTGCTTACCAGCAATTTCTTCCCAGCGGTCTACTGTCATTTGTTCCCCAAGTAAGTATAATCGTTAAATCTGCTTGTATGTGCTAAGGGTCAATGGCCTTCCACACAAGAATACGTTGCATTTTTCGCAGGCCAATATGTAAACCAGAGCTATTTTCCCTAGCAGACGAAGAAGACCATGCTGCAAACATGTTTCTAGAGACGTAGGCAAGAACGCTTTCTTACTTGCCATGGACATTGGGGTAGTAGGGTACCCAACCCAATCTTTAAGACATCAGTGGAAAAATTGTTTATCATGTCTCCTCGCCAATAACCATTAGTTGTGTGACAGAAATGTGGCGCATCATTGTGTCAAACGCCGCTTGTTGGGGTGAGCTCGAAACAAATAATATTTTTCATTTGTCAGTCCTCGCAGCTCCTCAGCAATATTCGCGAAGTTCTGCACCCAACGTATGTTCTACAAACGTATGCCCAGAAAATCCTTTACTCCGGTAAGATTCTATGAAGGAGGAGCCTCAATGATGACCCGCTTGTCTGCAACACTCAGATCCATGCCGTCAGTTGTAATAACGTGGCCCAGAAACTTGATGTTCCCAGCATTAATTTTGCACTTCTCGAGATTTAATCGAAGGTTGAGATTGTGTAGTCTTTGCAAGACTTCGTGCAGTTGTGAATCATGTCCTTCTGTTGTTCTACGGGAGACGCATGCGCTTCGGTCGCTGACAGGAAAAAGCCAGAAAAGGCTACCATGAGTACAAGGGCCCAACTTGGTGAAACAGTTGTGCCACAGTATGGTTTGGCATCATTAATGTCGCCCAAAAATCCACCTTAATCAAACGGACCTAGCGCTGTTAAGCCTATAACAACCAGGCGCAACTATGCTGCCTTAAGTCGTGTGTGCACCAACGTTCCAGAATCTAGATCCAATACAATAAGGAGTAAACTGATAGACGATCGTAATCAATGGGACTCCATCTGTAATGCCATCAGTGTCCTTGCTAACCCCACTAGACTGAAACGCATCGCGCGTCACCCAAACTCGTTGCACTACGGTGAGCCTGGATTACTTCGAGTAGCACTACATTCTGCAGATGAGACGGAGGCCATTCTAGTTCCTGTGAATCAACTCCATACTGCATCAAACGGAGTGTGCATACTACCGAACAGACCACGGAAAGAACGTTCTTCATAAATACATTAACCGGTCGTTTATTAACTTTTCTGAAAAGAACGTTCAAAACTTATGGAGGTAGAAAACACGGTAAGAAAACCGTCTTTATCCACGATGTCCCCGAGTCTCAAGCTTCCTCTTCCCAGGCTTAGGCACATGACCTGGGATCCAGCCAACTATCACACGCTAACAATGCTTCCGGTGCTGTCCAAAGTCATGGAGTATATTACTGCCGAGGCGCTCATGAATTATTTGGACGCATGCAAAATCATGGCAGCCGAACAGCAGGGATCCCGACAGAACCGGTTTTGCACCACAAACCTGCTGGTTGCTTGCTACAGTAGGACTATAATCATTGACAGCGGGGTGGAAGTTGAAGCAGTCTGCCTGGAATTCTCAAAGAGGTTCGACCGTCTGGACCACCGCATTGTCATTCACAAGCTTCAGAGCTGTGGAATTGTTGACCTAATTCCCGGGTGAATAGGTAACATTCTGATTCAGCGACATCTAAATGTGGAAGTTTCCAGTGTCATTTTTGACCCTATAGATGTTCAGTGCGGAGTTCCACATGGCTCAGTACTTGGTCTACGTCTATTCTTGATTTTCATAAAATTTATTGCAAGTGTGATCATTTCCAATTTCTTACTCTTCGCTGATAAACTCAAGATATCGCGGGCTGTCTCGTCAACTAGTGACTATCTAGTGCTTCAGCACGACCTTGAGAGGGTATTTGAATAGGCGACTCAGAACTTGCTTCATTTCAACGCTACCAAGTGTAAGCATTGAGCAGACGTCGCGAATCCAATAGCGAGTATAGGTTGTGGAATCAAGCTTTACGGCATACTTTTACTGGATGCTAGTTAACTGTGATAGTACAAGAGGATCATGGCTGTTCACGTCAGGCTGAGGTGTCCAACAACACGAGTCAACACCTTGGCATTTTTGGAGAGCCTTCTGGATGGGGGTCTTATCTGACTCAATACAGAACGGTGGTATTTCAATTCAGAGCTGTCAAAATTTAAAATATGTTTCATTAAAATCCCTAGCTTTTCATATGGAGGTTTATAGTATTGACACTGATAATACATAGAGCACATGAGCTATGTCAATGTAGATTCTGACGTTTTACTACTAAACCCAGCTGATATAATCTAATTAACTCTCGGTTCGCTTAGTTTAGGATAAGCTGATCAGATTTCCCACGTTCTAACTACTTAAATTAAATGCTAGGTGTACGATCTGAGGACGCCGAGATGAGGCTGCAAAAAATCGGATCAGACATACTTATAGTTCTGCAGGGCATGTACTGGCATTCCGCTTGTCATGTTTGTATTTTAAATATTCCGAAGTAAAAAGGGCAGATATCAAAGCGACACACACAGCAGGAAAATCTGATCGAAGCCTTCCGAATGAACACTGCTCCAAGCCCAGTGATGAGCAACGGCCTTCTAACTAATTAGAGGGCATCAACAAACACAGCATTCTGCCACTTTGCCACTAATCCCAGCAGTCAAGCAGCGCTCAAACTGGTCCTCTTTAGCCACCTAAACCTTCCTCATCCTTTCAAGCTGTATGAAAACTCAGGAAGCAGGCTGACATTAGTAGCACGGGTTTCGGAGTTGCCTTCGTAAATCAGGATAAAACAATTTAAGTTTCCCATACCATACCTAAGCCAAAGATGGTGAACTTGGTTACACGGGAAAGCAGTAAAAGGTGTAGTATCCAACATTACCCATACTCGTACAAAGGCTGCTTGGAACCAACGTGAAGACCTGTCTATAATTCGCAGCTACTTTCCGGAACAAAGTTCCCTTTCACTAAATGGCAAACAGTTGCATGACCTGAGCCAACGATACTTGATCGCTATCCAGATTTAGCTCATCGTTCTGACGAGGGTCACCCGTCACCAGAATTCCA